ATGGAGCCCGAACTCTCGACCCTACCCGCCGCCAGAGCTGCGGTGCAGGAGCAGAGCTAGAGGCCCCAGCCCCTGCAGCAGGCAGCCCATCGTCCCCTCGCTTTCAATCCTCTGCTTCTCACTGTGATCCCCCTCGTAGTGTCTCGACCTCGATCGTGGTCACGCTTCGTCGTGAAATGGGAAGGGTGGATAAGGAGGGCTTTTGTTCTCCTTGCCGTGAGATAGGAACGGGGGATGAGGATGAGAGGGAGAGGGAGGAGGAGGAGGAGGAGGAGGAAGAGGCGGAGGAGGAGGAGAGAACAACGAGGAGGAGGCATAGGATGAGGAGGGCGCTCCTCTCCTCCTGCTCCTCCTCCTCCCCCTCCTCCTCCTGCTCCACCTCCACCTCCTCCTCCTCCTGCTCCCGCTCCTCCTCCTCCTCCTCCTCCTCCTCCTCCTCCTCTTCCTCCTCCTCCTCCTCAGCTCCCTCAAGATGCCTCAAGGCAGCTCGGAGGAGGAGGCGAGGGAGCCACCGCAAACGACAGGCCACCGCCGCCCCTCCGGCCACGGGGGCTCCGGCGATCGGGGCCCCCGCTCCCCCCCCATGGCGGCCCGCCCTGTCCTCTGGAGCAGGGCGCAGGCGCCCTGCTTCAGGACCTGCGTCGGGCCGCCGCCGCAGCCGCCGCCGCCCTCGGCTTCGGCATCGGAGTCGGCGTCGTGAGCGTCGTCGTCGCGATGGTTAGCGGCGTCGTCGTCGTTGTCGTCGTTGTCGTCGACAGCGTCGTCTCCCTTCCCCCCTCTTCTCCTGCTTGGGTATGTCTGCTCGCCGCATTTTTCCTCCGCCTCCTCCTCGCCCGCCTCCCCCTCGCCGGTCAGCACAGCCTGCCCGGATGTAGCGTGGCGGCGCGCAGGTCTGCAAAGCAGGCAAGCTGCTGGCCGGGGCCCAACCTGGAGGGGTAACCCCTAGTGTTGTCGAATTGCTTCGAGTTTAGTGAGGCCTCTCGCAGCGTCATTTCCTGCTTGTAGGTGTCGCCGCGGCGTCGCTGTTGTCTTCGCTGTCTTCGACGCGGTCGTCGTTGTTAGCATCCTCGGCAGCGTCGGCGACGGCGACGTCGTCGCCGTTGACTTCGCCACCGCAAATTCATATGTTCATTGTCGCCGTCGACGGTGTGAGCGTCGGCATCTAAGTCATTGTCGTCTGAGGCACTGCCGCCGACGTCGGAGTAGACGTCGTCGTCATTGTCGTCGCCGCCATTGACGCCTCCGCCGTCATGACGGCGTAAGCATCGCCGTCGTCGTCTAAGTATTCGCCATCTGCGTCGCCGTCGATGGTGTTGCCTTCATCGCCATCGTCGTCGATCTCATCGGCGTCCCTGTCCATGTTGGGTACGCGGCGCCTTCCTCTTTATTACCTAACAGCGAAGACTGATAGGTTTCTAGTAGTGTCAAAAGAGAGCATCTTGACTCCCCAGTGGGGTCTGGGGGGTGCCGGGCAGAACCCGCGGAAGTCGTTTTAAGCAAGCAGTTACACACTTCGTGGTCTTCGAGGTCCCAGAACTCCACTCCCGGGCCACATTCTGAATGCCCGGAGCCAACTGTAGGCCACTTCGTGGTCTTCGAGTTCCCAGAACTCCATTCCCGGGCCACATTTTTAATGCCCGGAGCCAAGTGTAGGCCACTTCGTGCTCTTCGAGCTCCCAGAACTCCATTCCCGGGCCACATTTTGAATGCCCGGAGCCAACTGTAGGCACTTCGTGGACTTCGAGTTCCCAGAACTCCATTCCTGGGCATGATTTTGAATGCCCGGAGCCAACTGTAGGCCACTTCGTGTTCTTCGAGTTCCCAGAACTCCATTTCCCGGGGCCACATTTTGAATGCTGAGGCAGGCTGAGGCTGAGGCTGAGGCTGATGCAGGCTGAGGCTGAGGCAGGCTGAGGCTGAGGCCGAGGCCGACGGCAGACTGAGGCTGAGGCTGAAGCAGGCTGAGGCTGAGGCAGAGGCAGGCTGAGGCTGAGGCTGAGGCAGGCTGATGCTGAGGCAGGCTGAGGCTGAGGCTGAGGCTGATGCAGGCTGAGGCTGAGGCAGGCTGAGGCTGAGGCCGAGGCTGAAGGAAGACTGAGGCTGAGGCTGAAGCAGGCTGAGGCTGAGGCAAGGCTGAAGGCAGGCTGAGGCTGAGGCTTAGAAGCAGGCTGAGGCTGAGGCTGAGGCAGGCTGAGGCTGAGGCTGTGACTGCGACTGCCGTTGCCACTGCGACTGCCATCGCGAATGCGACTACGACTGCGAGAACAGCAGAATTCTACAACAGGATTCTCATCTGAATCTTAAGGGGAATGCTTCTAGATATGCTCCTACACATCGCTGTTTGGTTGCTTTGCCGGGATCATTTTTGACAGCGGCGTCGCCGTCGCCGTCTTCGTCGTCGGCGATGTCGTCGTCGTCGTACGAGGGGGAAGGAGGAGGAGAAGAAGAAAAAGAAGGGGGAGGAGGAGGAGGAGGAGGAGTAGGAGGAGGAGGAGGACGAGGAGGAGGAGGCGGAGGAGAAGAAGGATGAGGAGGGATGAGGGGCTGGGCTGTGGGCAGGGGGATGGGGAAAGGGCCTCCTCCTTCTTAAGCCGCGGCTCCTGGCTAATGCTGCGAATATGCCTTGGGAGCCAGAGGGGGTGAAGGAACGAGAGGCGGGGAGGGATGCAGTCGGACCCAGGACAGAAGAACATCCTTCAAGAGCACGAGACGCTCCGCCGGCCAAACTGAGGAACCCTCGAGGGCGCCCTCTCCCAGGAAGCACGAAGAACACCCAACCAACACGAAGGACACTGCAGTCAAAAACCCTAATAAGGACGCGCGGTAAGGACGCAAGACCCTTGGAAGCCGAAGTTGGGATTTTTGGGGCGGCGGACGACGAAAACCTCAAGGACGCAAGAGCAAGGAAGAGCAAGGACACAAGGGTACCCTGAGCAAAGTCGCGCGTCCTTGTTAGGGTTTTTGACTGTAGGATACCCTCTCCAATCCGACCTCGATCTTAGACCTCGTGCGAGGTGAGGATCTTGCTCCTCTCGGGGGCTGGATCCTGGCACGAGGCATCGGCCAGCGAGACACCGCAGCTCCGGCCGAGCGGCACTGGCCTCAACGAGCTCGCCCAGGAGTGGCCAGCGCGCGACCACCTCCACGCCATGGCCATGCACGGGGTGCCGGCCCCGAGCGACTATCGGCGCAGCCTGTGCTTTGCCGCCGCGCTGGGTTGCCGGCCGACCACGGTCGAGGCGGGGCAGGCTCCGCGTAAGGAAGGTGAGGGAGGCGTGAGGGCTGAAAAAAGGGATCCTCTCTGCGACGAAAGGCTTCCGCGAGCAGCGCAGCAAGCGGAGAGGCGGGACAAACGAAGGAGCGAGCCGAAGCGCGCGCGCGCGCGCGAAGCGGGCGACCTCCTCGGCGAAACTCTCGGAATAGTTCGTGAGAACGGCCAAGATGTACAGGACCTTCACGCGCGCCGGCGGGTGCGCAACTCAGGGATACCGCAATCCCTGTGCGACCAGGTCGTTTTGTTGCTGAGCAGTCGCGATTGCACGCAATCGGTACCAACCACATCAGGATTGTAGCAACAGTTCGTCCAGCAGCGACGGGCAGGCAAGATACAAGCAGCGCCAGTGCTTCCTGAAGCAGCGCCAGCCTGGCAACGTGCGCAAAGCACCCAGGCGCCTATCATCACAAGAGATCATCGCAATAATAGTTAATTAAAAGCTATTTTAGAATCCAGAATGGCCATCAAACCGAATTGAGAACGATTAAACCGGGGAGTAAGCCAGTCTTTGCCAGAATGAACGGGAGTTACTGGAGTGGCATGGAATGGGACGGGATTCACGACAACGGATATGCTAGCGCCGGTGTTGAATCTCTTACAAGTAGCATCCTAATTATTCGGGCGTCTGGGAGCTGCTTTGAAGGGCACTGGGCGGTCTGGGGTCGGGATGTGATCTGGGCCATCTTGTTGGGGGTCGTGGGCCGTCTCGTGGGATCATCTTGGAGGCATGCTGAGCCCACCGTGGGCTATCTTTGGGGCGCCCTGGGCCCTGCTGAGGCTCTTGTAGGCCTCTTGGGCCCTCTTGGAAGACCTCTGTGCCATCTTAGGGCACTCGCTTAGGCCCAAAGGGGTTGCGAGGAGACAGCGACCGAAGATGCATCGTGAATGCTATGATGTATCCAACTCCCTCGACCTCTTCCTCCTCCTCCTTCTCTTCCTCCTCCTCCTTCTCCTCCTCCTCCTTCTCCTCCTTCTCCTCCTCCTCCTCCTTTCAGCTAGGTGAAAGATGCGGTCCAGCCGCAAAATGTTGGACCCCCCGACGTAAGAAACCCTTCTTCCTCTGGAAAACAAGATGTACCGAGACCACCCCTCCCCAGACCTCTCCCATGGTCCATTCTGGCCAGAATTTCGAAGCGAATCCAGCGGTGGCGACGAGGGCCTCCCAGGAGGCCCCGACAAAGGGAAAACGAGGCAAGGCTAGCGGTAGATCGTTTCCCCTTCATCGCCTGACCTTCTCTTCGTCCTGCGCCTCCACCTCCCCTCGAAGCAGGGCGAGTTGAAACAACGGCAGCTCTGATGGGCTTGCTTTCCACCACCACCATAAGTTGGAGGGGGAGGGGGTCCTCCTCCTCCTCCTCCTCCTCCTCCTCCTCCTCCTCCTCCTCCTCCTCCTCCTCCTCCTCCTCCTCCTCCCCCACCTCTCCGTCCTCCGCCTCCTCGTCCTCCTCCTTCGCTTTCCAACTTGTGGTGGTGGTGGAGAACAGGCCCATCCAGATCAACATCGGTCCTCGGACCCCTCCCGCACCAAGCTCCCGAGAGGCGCGCCCAGCCGTGGCGACGACGGCCCCCCTTCCCGAAGGCCAACTGCCGCTGTCTCGGCTTGCCCTCCTCTGCTTATCCTCCTCCTCCTCCTCCTCCTCTTCCTCCGCCTCCTCCTCCCCCTAATTTCCCAGACCCCCCTCGAGCAATGACAAAAAATCACGACGGGAGATTTGTCCTACTTTTCGACCTCCAGGGGCCCTCAGCAGGCCTCAAGAGCGTTAGAACACGACTCAATATGCAAAGCCGGTCATGGGGAAAGGGTCGGGACCTCTGGGGGACGACGTAACGAAAAAATCATTACGTCTGGGGTCTGGGTAATTATCACGAAGCCAAGACGACGGTCAAATCGGGTGAGGATAGATCGAATCTCTGTGGCGGATGCCTCGGGCGCGGCAGCCTTCTCAGAGCGTCGTGGAACGCTCTGCGAGCGTTCTGGAACGCTCTGGAACGACTTCTTCCTCGCCCCAGCCCCGCCCGAACATCCCAGATTCCCGGAGGTGTCCCAGGACGAACTGTACACTCCGAAGCCTACCTGCCAGAAGGCGTCTTGGTGACTGGCCGGGAATGCCAATCTTGATGAACAATTTTCCGTCCACCACGCATCAAAAAACAAGTCGCCCCACCTCGTCTTGTGAAAGGGGGTGGGCTCCTCGAGTTTACTGCGTCATGGTATCTTAGGGGGGTCGGTGCAAGGGGGTACTCCTCCAAATGGACCATCGCTCGTATCTCGGCCCGAACCTCGCCATCGCTCAGACGTCCATTACCCGTGCATGTTTCGATTTCGTGTGTATTTGTGTCGCAAGATGATGCGTTTTTCGATTTCGGTGGTCCTCGCCGAGGAAAACTGCACACGTCCGAACGATGCCATGGAACACCGTTTCAGACACAGGGCGCTGGACGTCTGGTGAAAGAGGTGGCCACGCCACGAAATTGTCGGGCCCGTCAAAGTGCAGCGCCCCCCTGGCACAAGGGCGGCACCCAGGGGGGCTCGTCCGCAACAGCTGGCCGCCGACGCGCCACACTTCGGCCCCGACCCGAGTAACAATCAATGACATCTTCCTCCTCCTCCTCCTCCTCCTCCTCCTCCTCGTCCTCGACCCAGCCCGAACGAGAACGAATTCGCCCGCGCCACATGCCACTTACGCCACCTCATGGCCATAGCCAGAGGCGGGTGGCGCCTCCCGAACGGTGCGACCCATCAGATGGGCTGCACCACCCCAGCCCTGATGACCGAGGCGGTGCGCAAAGGTTCGGCTAGGTACCTCCAGGCACGGTTGACTTGGAACCTGGCAGGTGAGCGGGTAAGGCCAGCAAGCACACGGGCACCCCAGGTGCCAGGTGCAGAAGGACGTCGGCAGCCAAGAGGCAGGTTTGCAGAGATCTTGGCCCCTCCCAGCCCACACACCACACACAGCACACCACAGCCTCCGCCCCCCGTCCCCTGTAACGGCGAAAGGATGCATCACGTGCGCTCTCTCGTCGGGGAGCTGCACGCGCACAGAGGCCAAGTCGGCTCGTGAGAGACTGCGCGGTGCGACGGGCAACGGTAGCTCAACAATCTGGCTAGGCACGGGGCGATCCGCACTCCCGTTGCCGCGAGCAACACGCTGCTTCTCTGAGACATGCTCACACTCAAGAACACACATACGCGGGCCTATGCGGGCAACCCAGCGAGCCCACCTAGAAAGAATCAGCGCCTTGGCCTTGTGGGTCTCGCAGAGCTCGGAGGGAACACGGGCCCTCGAGGCAACCCACTGGGCCCAATCGTCCGCGTGCACATTGCCTTCTTTTTCACATCGCGAAGTAAAACCAGACTGGATGCGGGCTTCTGTACAATGTCCTTTTTATTTTGCGGATCACGATGTAATCCGCTCCGCCCCAGTCTGCGATGCGCTGCCAGACCTGGACCCACAGCTCAGACCAGGCGGCGCGCGAGGAGCAACAGTACGCCTGACCACGCAAGCGGACTCCGTCGTGCACAAACGCCGAGTCCGTGTAAAAAGTGCTGCCTGGCATGCTGTGCTGCAGAGCCCGATAGAAGGCAAACAGTTCAGCATAGTCAATGTCGTGACAGACGTGCGACACCGTGCCACACAACACAGATTTGACACGAAACGGGTACTCGGGCTGCACACTGAACATGGCCCATCCGACTGCTTGCGCGTGTGACGGCAGGTGCAGGTCCATCCAGCTGCCGTCTAGAAAGACGTGTCCTGACATCTAGGTTCTAGGTGGGGCCTCCACCAAACCACCTGTCGGGCAGGGAGGTGGCAGGAGGAAAGGGGGCATCAGGGACGAGGAGCCTCTCGGCGAACAGGAGAGGGAGGGGGTCAACACTCGCTCTAACCACGGCATCTAGAAACACGGGCGCGGCTTCACCAGCAGCGATGTCGTGGTGGCCCCCGCAGCACGCATGCCTGCGAAGCAGCGTGCCAGGAGCCTCGTGACCCAACTGACAGTGAGGCTCGGCCGTGTATTGTGCCATCCACTGTCTATGCTGAGGCCACTGCCCTCCACGCACAACACTCCTAAGATAGGCCTTCTCGTCGGCAGGGCGTTTCACCAGAGACTTCCTCAACATGTATGATCCAGAAGCTTAACATTTTCAGGTGTCTCACGGGTGGAGGGCGGGTTGTTTACACAATTTGGGTTTCGTTTAAGTGCCGCGTACATTTGTTTTCAAAGTTCGCGAAGGAGTTCATGGATGGAAGGCGGGCCGCTTTCAACATTGGGTTCTAACTGTGGCGCCGGGCACACTCGTCTCGCAAAGTGCAAGAACATGCTGCGTGGAGGGTGGCATCTTTTGAAAATGTAGCTCTCGCCTGAGCACCGCGTGCACGCGTCTTGTATTTTTGCAACCGTGTAGAGGATTAGCATGGTTCACGGCCCAGAAATAGCGTTTTGGAACGATGTAGGTCTGTCAGGGCGCAACAGTTGCGTTGATTCGCTGTGTTGAAGTCCAACGAAAGGCGTTTTAATTCCCAAGCGGTAGTCTACCGCCTTGGCACTTCCCTCAGTGGAAATGAATCCTTGTATGGGGCCTGAGGGAGTTTGGAGGGAGGGTGTCGCGCAATCTCTTTGATGACTCTTGGGTTTGCACTGGTCCTCCTCCTCCTCCTCCTCCTACTTCCTTCCTTTTTTCCCCAAGGCCCTGAAGGCGCAGGCCTGGGGTGCCCACACACGGCAAGAGAGGCGGCAGGAAAAGGGTAGTAGACGTGGTCCGCATCAACCCAACTCGCAACCATGATCAAGAGGGAGATATGCAGCACGCGGGCCCTCCTCCTCCTCCTCCTCCTCCTCCTCCTCCTCTTCCACCTCCCCCGCGCACAGGGGAGTGGGCAACCTAATCCCCTCCTCCTCCTCCTCCTCCTCCTCCTCCTCCTCCTCCTCCTCCTCCTCCTCCTCCTCCCGTGCATCGGGGGCGCCGGCGCGCGAACCGTCGCGCGCATCGGGGGCGGGGGCGCGGGGCTTCGCCTCGGGCACCCCGGCGGGGCCGTGTGGCGGCGAGGTCGGGGCCGCGCTGCCCTGACCGCGCCCCGCTCTGGCTGGCATCGTCGCCGCCGCCGCCGCCGCCGTCGTCGCCGCCGCCGCGGTCATCGTCGTGTGTCGGCGTGGGTCGCCGAGCAAAAAATTACAACGGGGGGGTTTGGCCTGTTGCCGCACTCACGAGCCGCTACGAACCATGAGAGAACAGCGGGGGGCTTCGGGCTGTGTTTCGGCACCCACGAGCCCTCGCCAGGCCCCGGGGCTGTCAAGGAGCGGCTCAGTATGAAGAGCTGGTGCTTGGGGGGTGGGTCGTCGTAGGTTGTCGTCATTTTCTGTCGTTCGGTGGTAGCTCGTGGCTCATGGGAGCCTCCCATACCAACCATCTTGTCGGCCCTTGCGAATCGACGATAATCGACGCCAGTCGACGATAATCGACACTAAATCGACGCTGATCAATCTCACCGACTTCCAGACGCTAATCGACGCTAGTTGACGCTAACGACGGAATTCACAAGGTACACCAGGCTCGCAATCGTCGCCGTCGGCTTCCGCCTCATTGTCGCTGAAGTCGTCTCCGTGGCCGTGGCCGTCGTCTCCCGCTCGTCGACGCCCTCCCCCTGCTGAGGTGGTGCACAGTGAGCGCCGCAGAAGCTTAGCGTTGACCTCATCCTCACCCTCCTCCTCCTCCTCCTCTTCCTCCTCCTCCTCCTCTTCCTCTTCCTCCCTCTCTTCCTCCTCCTCCTCCTCTTCCTCCTCTTCCTCCTCCTCCTCCTCCTCCTCCTCCTCCTCCTCTCTCTCCTCCTCCTCCTCACTCCTCCTCCTAGCGCCAGCTCGATCAGGCTCCCCTCTTGCTCCTCCTCATTCTCCCTACCCCCCGCCCCCTACGAATGAGGAGAGGGAGAAGGAGAGGGAGGCTAGGGAAGGGGGACAAGGGGAGCGGGGCAACACAAAAGGCCGAAGGGGGGCGAGAGGGGCAAGGAAGAACACGGGAGGGCTTGAGCAAGAGGGGGAGGTAGGGGGCTAAGGCAGACGCGGTAGATACAAGAGGAAACGACGACCGGGGGCAAGTACATGACATGAATATATATATATATATATATATATGTAAATATACATAGAGAGAGAAATAACAAACAAAAAGAAAGAGGAAGAAAGAAGAGAGGCGCGGAGAATGGAGAGGACGAGCTGGGTGCGCTCGAGCCAGATCTGCCCTCCTGCCCCTGTCCCAGGTCTTCGCCCTCTTCCGGCCCCTTCCCGTGGCGCTGTGCTCTCTGTCCGCCGACGCGTGCCAGGAGCCAGGGCAGCAGCAGCAGCGGGAACTGAGGTGGAAGCAGCGACAGGAGGGGGAGGAGGAGGAGGAGGAGGAGGAGGAGGAGGAGGAGGAGGAGGAGGAGGAACAGGAAAAGGAGGAGGAGGAGGAGGAGGAGGAGGAGGATGAGGGAGGAGGGGAGGAGGAGGCGGAGGAGAAGGCGGAGGAGGAGGAGGAGGGGAGGAGGAGGCGGAGGAGGAGGCGGAAGAGGAGGAGGAGGAGGAGGGCCACGGGAAGGCGGAGGAGGGGAAACGAGGGGGCCCAGGGACACGCAAATAAGTAGACACAACTGACAGGATGCCCCATATTTTCCATATGTTCTGGGTTTTCGTCTTCCCCCCCCCCCGCTTCCCATACTTTCCCATTTGTTTCGTGGGAGTCGACTGTTAATCGTGTCTGTGTGTTTCTCCCCTCCTGGAGGACCATGGGAAGGCGCAGGAAGGGAAACGAGGGGGCGACAGAGACGAGAAAAAAGGACCTCGGGTCCAGAACAGGTGGCCCGCGCCGCGGGGCGAGACGGGAGCAGACAACGTCGATGTGAAAACGAGGCGCCGACGTTTCGGGCGGGACACTATCATTCTGAAACACCGGAGACATTCGGAGCTTAGAACGAAAGAGACTAAGGCGGATCATTGCCTGAGCAAAGATAGGGCGAGAATAGAGAGAAGTACTTACATGTGTAGGTGTGTGGCGAGAAAGAGGGAGAGAGAAAGAGAGAGAGAGAGGGAGGGAGGGAGAGAGAGAGAGAGAGAGAGAGAAACTCAACCATAACAAAACGAGAGAGAGAGAGAGACAGTCTCGCAGATGGTGAGACGGGCAGGGGGGAAGGGAACAACGGGTCAAGCACAAAGGCGCGGCGACTGAGGAGGAACCAGGAGAAGAGAAAGGGAGACGATCGCGCCCTCCTCCGCCCTCCTGCCCCTCCACTGCTCCTCCACTCTTCCGCCAGGCGAGCTCCTCATCCTGCTCCTTACCCTTGGGGGAAATCAGCAGGTACCGTTGCCGCTGCTCCACGGACCTCTTCCGGGGTGCGCTCTGACCAGAATTCCGAGGCGCCTCCAGCGGTGGCGACGAGGGGCTCTCGGGGGGCCGAAACAAAAAGGAAAACGAGGCAATGTTGCCAGTACGGGTTCCAAAACCCCCGACGTCATGATTTGTTCATGACGTCGACCCCCAAAACTCTCGATCCGTTCCCCAGGACCGGTTTCGCACCCTGCATCCAATTTTGACGGCCCCGAGGCCCGCTGAGGGCCCCCGGGGAGGGCGAAAACAGCGCAACGCCTTTCGAGATGTTTTCCTCCATGACCCGAGGCTGTCTGGGCTTCCTCCTCCGAATCCTGCTCCCCCTCCTCCTCCTCCTCCTCCTCCTCCTCCTCCCTCCCTCCTCCTCTCCTCCTCTCCTCCTCCTCCTTCTCCTCCTCCTCCTCCTCCTCCTTTCCTCCTCCTCTCCTTTCTCCTCCTTCTCCTCCCTCTCCTCCTCCTCCTCCTCCTCCTCCTCCTCTTCCTCCTCCTCCTATCCTCCCCCCCCGGCGGCGTGGGGGGCCGAGGTTCGCGCCAGCACAGCGGTCGCGTGCTGGCGCAACCCCACCCCGTGGCGGGCACTGGCCTCCTCGCCTCCCCCGCCGTGCCTTCGCTTAAGTCGGGCCTGTCCCCCTACAGGGGAATTTTGATGAAATAAAAAAATACCTCAAGAATGGCCAAACAAAAATCCAAGAATCGTCTGGGGACTGCGTTTGGAATAGTATTTAACCTTTTGGGGGTATCTTGTTCCCCACATCCTAAGTGGGGTTCTTGTTTTCTCTGCACACCCTCCGCGCAGGATTTCTAGTCCTCCTCCCTCTCCTCTGCTCCTCTTTGCTTCCTCCTCCGCATCATCATCACCACCACCATCACTCCCCACTCATCATCATCATCACCATCACCATCAGCATCACCATCGCACGATCACTCACCATCATCGGCATCGAACGATCATCATCATCATCATCATCATCATCATCATCATCATCATCATCATCATCATCATCATCATCATCATCATCATCATCATCATCATCATTACTCGCTGACTCACCACTTCGTCCCCATCATCATCACCACCATTTACCATCAGAATCGCACGATCACTCACCATCAATACTCATCATCACCACCATCATCATCATCACGTCGTCATCATCACCACCACCACCATCAGCATCATCATCATCATCATCATCATCATCATCATCCATCATATATCATCATCAAACACCGTCGTCATCATCCCATCACCATCATCCACCAAGAGGGAACCTCGTCTGTGAGTGAATTGTGAGGAAGTCTCAGGCGGGAGCCTCCTTCCTATGGGGCCCGCAGATCATGTTATTAATCCAAGCGGGTCATCGGATTCTTGTAACTGTCGTCACTTTTGGGCTCCCCAGGTCTGAATTTGGAGGAAATATCAAGCGGGAGCCTCGTCTGTGAGTGAATTGCGAGGAAGTCTCAGGCGGGAGCCCCCTCCCTATGGGGCCCGCATATCATTTAAATAATCCGAGCGGGTCATCGGATTCCTGTAACTGTCGTCACTTTTGAGCTCCTCAGGTCTGAATTTGGAGGAAGAATCAGGCGGGAGCCTCGTTTGTCAGTGAATTGCAAGCAAGTCTCAGGCGGGAGCCCCCTCCCTATGGGGCCCGCACTAATCCGAGCGGGTCATCGGATTCTTGTAACTGTCGTCACTTTTGGGCTCCTCAGGACTGAATTTGGAAGAAGTATCAAGCGGGACCCTCGTCTGTGAGTGAATTGTGAGGACGCGTCAGGCGGGAGCCCCCTCCCTATGGGGCCCGCCGATCATGTTATTAATCCGAGCGGGTCATCGGATTCCTGCAACTGTCGTCACTTTTGGGCTCCTCAGGTTTGAATTTGGAAGAAGTATCAAGAAGGGAGCCTCGTCTGTGAGTGAATTGTGAGGAAGTCTCAGGCGGGAGCCTCCTCCCTATGGGGCCCGCAAATCATGTTATTAATCCGAGCGGGTCATCGGATTCCTGTAACTGTCGTCACTTTTGGGCTCCTCAGGTCTGAATTTGGAGGAAGTATCAAGCGGGAGCCTCGTCTGTGAGTGAATTGCGAGGAAGTCTCAGGCGGGAGCTCCCTCCCTATGGGGCCCGCAGATCATGTTACTAATCCGAACGGGTCATCGGATTCCTGTAACTGTCGTCACTTTTGGGATCCTCAGGTCTGAATTTGGAAGAAGTGTCAAGAAGGGAACCTCGTCTGTGAGTAAATTGTGAGGAAGTCTCAAGCGGGAGCCCCCTCCCTATGGGGCCCGCAGATCATGTTATTAATCCAAGCGGGTCATCGGATTCTCGTCACAGATGAATTTGGAGGAAGTATCAGGCGGGAGCCTCGTTTGTCAGTGAATTGCGAGCAAGTCTCAGGCGGGAGCCCCCTCCCTATGGGGCCCGCAGATCATGTTATTAATCCGAGCGGGTCATCGGATTCCTGTAACTGTCGTCACTTTTGGGCTCCTCAGGTCTGAATTTGGAAGAAGTATCAAGCGGGACCCTCGTCTGTGAGTGAATTGTGAGGACGCGTCAGGCGGGAGCCTTCCTATGGGTCCCGCAGCTCACGTGGTTCCTCCGGGTCATCCTCCGGCGCGCGCTTCCTCTGGGTCGTCCTCCGGCGCGTATCGGCTGGGACGCACGTCGTGCGCTTCCTCTGGGTCGTGTTCCGCACGAGGACGAGGAGGAGGAGGATTGCCAGGAAAAGGAGGAGGGATGATGCAGGACGAGACAGGAAAGCAGGAAGAGGAAGAGGCTGAGGGGAGGAAGGACGAGGAGGAAAAGGAGGAGGAGGAATGCCCGAGGAGGCCCCAGTAGGTCCCGGAAGGCCCAGAAGGCTCCAGGAGGCCCCAAGAGGCCCCAGGAGGCCCCAGGAGGGGGCAGGAGGCCTAAGGAGGAGGCAGGAGGAGGAGGAGGAGGAGGAGGAGGAGGAGGGGGGGGAGGAGGGGGGAGGAATATGGAAACGAGGAGGAGGAGGAGGAGGAGGAGGAGGAGGAGGAGGAAGCGGATGAGGGAGAGGGAGAGGAGGAGGACAGGGGATGAGGAGGAGGAGGAGGAGGAGAAGGGAGAGGGAGAGCAGGAGGAGGAGGCAGGAGGCAGGAGGGGCAGGGGGAATGGGGGGGAGGAAGCATAACGAGGGGGAGGGGGAGGAGGTGGAGGAGGCAAGAAGAGGAGGAAGAGGCAAGGGTTGAGGCAGGAGGAGGAGCAGACAGGAGGAGAACGAGGAGGCAAGAGTAGGTGGGAGAAGGGAAGGGGCAGGAGGATACCCCCATGCAAGCTAAAGAGATTCTCATGTGGGGTCCTTCCGTCGGAGTAATTTGTTTTATTTTTCGTCGAAAATCCCCCTGTATCGAGACACGCCCGACATAAGCCTTCGCGCCCTTGACGCTCGCTGTCCCCTGCCACCTCCCGCCCCCCCCTCGTCCCCTCCTCTCGGGGAACAAAAAGTGGCATACACATAACAACCCAGAGGTCCGCGCGGATTTCTCGGATCGGCGCTGGGGCCCCCTCCTTGGAGGGGCCCAAGGACACAGCAGAGACATAGACACCAGTGTTCGAGAACTCTCCCCCATCGTTTCTCCCATCTCTTCTCGAGGTTCGTCTTCCCCCCCCCGCTTCCCATGCAGTAGGAGCTCGACCACAAGAAACCTTCCACGAGGAGACCAACCCTGAGACCCCCGGACGAGGATTGACTTCTGGTGTGGGAACGTCACGCTTCCCATTGCAAAACCATCGAAACCACCGAAACCCAGGGTACCCTGGAGGCAAGGAGGGTGGTTCTTGGCGTGGGCTGCCACGGAATACTTCCAATACTTCCCTGGGGAATCCACGATTATTTGTGTCAGCGTGTGTTTTGTTCACTCCTGCCTCTTGCCTTCTCCTGGCCCGCCTCGCGCCTGGGACGAATAGCCAGGCCGACACCGCTTCCGGCGCCAGAACCGCCAGTCGATGCGCCTGCACCAGGCAGGACGATGATATTATCGGGAACAGATAGCTCGAGAATCCCACGAGGCTCCCAAGAGGCCCCCAAGAGGCTCCTAAGAGGCCCCAAACTTCCTCCCCAGAGGCCCCCGAGAGCCGCCCGAAGAGACCCCAAGAAGCACCACGTCAGCGTCGTCGTCGCCGCCGCCGCCGCCGTTGTCGTCGTCGTCTCCCTTCAGGTTCGGCGGCACCGGCCGCAAGGCCTTCGCAATCGGGAAAAATAGATCGAGAACCTCTGCGATCCAGCAGCTCTGGAGGATGGCTCGGGCGCCGCGACCCTCTCAGAGCGTTCCAGAGCGCTCTGAGAGGGTTCGGGAACGCTCTGGAGCAGATGTATCCTCGTCCTAGCCCCCCGTCCGGTGCTGGGCCCTGCCACCCTCAGTGCCGTTGGATGCGGTTCGGCGCCTTGCCAGCTGGCCAGTCGGCAGCCCTCGTCGTCCAGGGCCTGACGACCGTTCGGTTTGCGGGGATGGCGCCTGATGTTTGCGGTGCAAGTCGATACACGTCGTTCATGTCTAATCGTGCTCATTTCTACTTGTGCTCGTTTCTAATTGCTCCAGGCCCCCTAGTGGCCAGGAAGAGGCCCAGGACAGAACAATTAGAAATGAAATGATCTTGGCCCCCTGAAGTATCAAAGAACTTTCGATAATTCGAAATGCTATGGAATCATTTCATTCGCTGCAGGAGTGGATCAACAATTTCCCCATCCTTATTATCACAAGAAATCAAGAAGATGTGCTTTCTCATATCTGATCTTTTTCTTAGAAGGCCGAGAAGTCATAACTTCCCTGTCTATCAGTCTTTTCAAGCCAATGTGTAAGAACGCGCAGCTGGATCGAATCGTAAGGTCCCTACGAGGGTCGAAGGGGACATTCACGGCCACGGAGGGGGGCTGCCTGTGCGCCACCCCTGCAGGCCAAGCTGGCGACGAGAGTCCCGAATAAGACACGGGCTCTCACCGCCCCAGAGCTTCCCGGATTATCCCCCAGTCGGTGCTTGCACTGAAGGGGTCCCAGAGGAGGTTGAGAGATTTGGCGACAATTTCCCGCCGATTTGGGTGGCAGGCTGGGTTCCCGGGTTCCCGGTGCCGGGTTCCCGGGTTCCCGGTTATCGGTTCCGGGCCGATTTCGGTGGGTTCTGGGTTCCCGGGCTCCCAGTTCCCGGTCGATCTTCGAAAACCATCCACTGATTGGGGTTTTTCTCTGGTGTACTTGTCTTGTCCTGTTGCTGTTCGTTCGTTGCTGTGGCCCCAGGGTTTCCCTGGACTGGCTCTTCCTCCTCGGCCGTTCTTGACCGGGCCCCGGGGCCTGAGAAGGCCCCTGGGGGAGGGGGGCCAACAACGATGCGAACAGAAACCCTCCCTCGGGATCCCATCTGGCTCGTGGCGGTATCCACAGAGATCTCCGAAACTCCCTGGAGGTCCCCTGGAGGCCCCCGCAGCACCCGGAGCCCAAAGGGGGCCGAAACGCAAACCAACCCTTCGATCCTCGATCCTCGAACCCCGACCCTCGATCCTCGAACCTGGATCCTTCGACCCTCGATCCTCGAACCCCTTCGATCTTCGATCCTCGAATCCTCGAAATGTCATCGCGGGCTGTCCTCGCATCCCTGTGGAGCAGGGACCGACCATCCAGGCATGCCGAGCTAGGCCTGCCACGACGCGTGCAAATAACCGAAAGACAAATCATGCTCCAAGAGCCAGACCCAGACCCCCTCGACAAATGAAAACAATCATGACGGGATTTGTTTCGCAATTTTAGGCCTCTGGAGGCACTTCCTGGGCCTCGGGACGGTCAAAAAACGCCTCAGGATGACAAACCGGTCCTGGGGAATGGGTCGACAACTCTGGGGGTCGACGTCACGAAAAAACCATTACGTCGGGGGTCTGGGGAACAAGGCTCTTAGAACATAATCGGGCGTTGGGAGAACTGGGTTTAGTGGGACCTGGTTAAGTGATGTGTGCTGGGGGACTCCCCCCCCCGCCCGTTCCGCTTACCAGAGCTGCCCTCGACAGGTCCCCCGATGGCGAACCCGCACCCAACTGGCGGGTGGATTATCGGGAGCCCAACGGCGATCCGTGGTGGACTAAAGATCGAGGAATCCGCCCCTGAGCTCACAGTCAGCCCGTCAAGTAAGGGACGCACAACAAGGAGGCAGTGGCCTTGGCAAGCCGTGTCGACACCTCGCGAGCGGGGCGCCCTCAGCGAAAGCGGCCGAGTATGGGCCGAAGGATGCAAAGATCTAACCTTGGAAAGTGACTCATCCTTGCTATGTGGGTTGACTGTATCGGGCCCCCATCGGCGATCAATTCGGGTCGGGCGAAAGGGGGGGATAGCAAAGGGGGGTTTGAGAATCAGCTCACGTGGCTGATTTTCCTGGCGCCTCCCGGCGCTGGAGGCGGCCATGTATCGAGGCCGAAACATGCATGCAGCAAATTTCGTAACCCCCCCTTTCCCAATCCCCCCCTTTCGTCCGGCCAGATCAATGGGCGATTGGGGGTCGGTGAATCCGCCCCTGAGCCTATCTCTGCCCTGTGCTTGGTATTCAGGCCATACAGAGGCCGTGCGGGATCGGGGCACCCCCGGAAACGCGCTCGGCGAGGCGCAGTGCCGCTGCAGAGCACCCCGAAGCAGGAACGCCGCCGAGAGGCGCCGTGATCAGACGCAAACCTCGAACCTCGAGCCGGTCGTTCTGCCCCGAGGTGGTCCCCCCGAAGGCTGCCCAGGAGACTCTGGGATGGCACCGCGGGCTGCCCTCTCTCCTCCTGCCTCCTCCTCCTCCTACTCCTCCTCCCCGCTCCTCCTCCTCCCTGCTCCTCCTTCGCCTTCTGCGCCTTCTCCTTGTTCCTCCATCCGTCTCCTTCTCCCCCCTCCTGGACCTGTTGTTTCTTCCTTCTTCTCCTCTTTCTCCTCCTCCTCCTCCTCCTCCTCCTCCTCGTCCTCGCCCTCCTACTCCTTCTCCTCTGCCGCCCCTTCGTCCTGTATCCTCCAGCGCCTCATGCTCGCACCCACCCCCCGGCACGCACCGCCAGCAGCGCCAGCAGGTTGCTGAGAGCGTTGCCGGGGCAGGCCTCCTGCGAGGGGGGGTACCACCGCGGGCCACGCCAGGCCGCCGCCGCCCCCGCGCGGAGATCACCGCCGCGGCCGCCGCCGCCGCCGCCGTCGTCGACGTCGTCGCCGACGTCGTCGACGTCGCCGTCGTCGGAGTCGTCGTCGTAGTCGTCGTCGTCATCGTCGCCGTCGTCTTCGTCTTTCTCGTTGTCGTCGCCGTCGTCTTGAGATACTCAGGTGTAAACAGTCACTGCTGCTGGTGAGTGGAGGCGGTTTTGGGCGCTCTCCCTTCGGCGCGAGCCACGGTTTCGACGACAGTTGGGCTCTCGCTCGATCGCGAGCTGGCGTCCCGATTCCCGAGGTTGAAGCCCAAGCTCTACGACGACAGCGGCTCCCGCCTGATACCCCCCAACAACTTACTCCGAGGCGCCATGGCCAGAAATTCCACAGGATTCAGGAACGCCGCTCCCGCCCAAGATTTCCCAGCAGTTCACTCAAGTTGGCGGAGGGCCCAGCTGCGACGGAAACGGACCCCGCGTCACACTTGCTCCGAGACGCCCTGGCCAGAGGGGCCCCCGAAACTCAGGAACGGTGCTCTCGCCCGAGAGCTCCGCGCAATTCAGAGCAGGCCTAGCTACGATGACAACGAACCCCGCTCGATACTTCCTCGTACTCTACTCGCGTGCGCCCTAGTCATGTGCAGTCTCACGTTCAGGAATTGCGCTCTCGCTCTGGACTTCCTCGCGAGTCCCGCATGTTTCTGAACACCCAGCTACGACGACAGCGGCTTCCGCTCGATACCTCCTTACACTGCATTCTGGGACGCCATGGGGGGGCCCAAAACTTAGGAACGGCGCCCTCTCCGGAGCCTCCCTCGCAGCTCACTTATGTAGGTGAATTGCCAGCAAACGCGTTCGCTAGCATGACGGCCATGGCGGCGCGGTGCGCGCACAAGAATGCACGGCTGAATGCTTGTCGAAGGAGCTGGAATGAAGAGAAATCCCCCGCAGGCGGGGTCATTCATCGACTTCGCGGGTGGGTACAAGACAAACGCTGGTGTTGCATCCGCGTGGGCGCGTTGGCAAGAAGATGGCGAGATGCAGCCAAAGGATGCTTCCACGCAAGGGCGGCGAGACGTGGCCAGAAGCATCTCCCAAGACCATGATGGATGAAAACTACGACGATAGAGGCCTCCTAGATGGGGTTCGCACCGCATCGCCGATGCATCGGTGACGTCGCTGTGGAGACAGTCGTGCCCCGCATCGGCCATGCGGCGCGAACCTCCGACCCCACCTGCTCCTACCCCATCTGGGTGGCCCAGAGACGAAGGATCACATCAAGTGTACGGACATACTGCGTGTGCCCGATGTTGCCGTGGACGGCCTCTGCGCCTTTGCGTGGCCGAGGCTGTTTGGGAATGCCGCCGGGATGGCGCACCGTTTGTCGCACCAGAGAGCTCGGAACAAAACGAGACGATCTTCGTGTACCACTATGCTTGTGCCGATCGCTTAACATGCTCGACACCAGCTGCACGCGTACTTCTCTTGACACAGCGGCGTCCGAGACCCGGGAGATGTAACAACTGAGAATGCGCAAGGAAGGGCGCCAATTCGTGATCTGTCTTTCCAACCACCGCAACGAATCGAGTGGATAAACAAACGTCAACTGGAATAGATCTGCACACTCCAGCGCGAGGTGATAGAGGTATGCGACCCAAACTCGCGCAGTGTCCTGAAGATGGCACCAGCTTCGCCCAATCTACAAGACAATTCGTTCCCAGCGCGCCCGTCGCGGAACCCACACCTCCCGAATGTACGGCTTCCCTCGTCGATGCATCTCCAATCCGCGCTGCTCCACCCAGGGGGTCGTGCACACAAGATGTCCCGACCCACGACGTAGGAAGGTTCTTCCAACAGCGGCGGATGTCCGAACACATTGTGGCGCACGTTTGTGTGCACTGCAATGGAGAGGTATGGGGATAAAGGGCAGCCTTGCGCAATGCCGGCAATCTGCCTGCGGTCCGACGACCGCCCGCAATGGTCGCGCCTATTGCGAACTACCTGTTCAAAGCGAATGCCCCATAGCATCTGCAAGATAGGGCCTGGCAGGCCGACTCGTCGCCCAGCCCTGGACGGAGGATCGGGACTCCGCCGAGCAGAACCTTGCGCGCAAATGACCGACAGTAATAGGCTACCGCCGTTGTTGCTTGAATGCGCTGCGTCTACAGGGCGCCTTATCAACATAAGAGCGTTTGCCGTCCTGCGTCCTGGGCGAAAATCAAATATGGAGATATCGCCGCATACATGGTTTCTCCATAC